CTCCCTTTCTCCTTTCCTGCTGTCTCTCGGTACCTAATTTAATGTTAAACCTGTGTCTCTATCAAGGGGGAAAATGAAGTGTTATACGAGAGGACAATCTTCACAGTCCAATTGCTCCAGGACTCTCTTAGGAAATTTTCATAGCTGGCAATATTTTGGCTGCTAGGCTGGCTATTTGTTGGCCATCTGTCACTGTTAAAAGTAGAATTGTATAGTCTAAACCCATATTAACAGATGTGTTGGAATCAGAATATGATATATCTGCTTCCAAGATCCAAGGCACATAGTCTGCAGCACTCCATGAAGATTTATTCAGATATGCTTAACTTAGTTCAGTTTTTAGGTTTTGAATCATCGCTGTTCAGCCAGTATAAGATTCTAATTTTAAGTAAATAGATTCATGTAATTTCATTAAGCTATATAGTCTTTAAGCCATAGTCCTCTCTAAATCCATAAAATATTTTACAGTATATCAGTTAGCATTATCAGTGACTTGCAAGGAGGGTCAGACTACCATTTACTAGTATCTAAAGCAGTATCAAGAACCTTCAGCAGATATCTCTCCATTCTGTATGAATTACCAGTTGAATGCATGCTTAGTTCTTTTCTTGTTTGTTTATATTTATTCACTTTGTATTTTACTACGTTATTTATTTTAATTTCATAGTTATTTAATAAATATTATTAGTCCTTTATTAATTATTTCTGAGGCACACTATTTCATTGACTCAGTTTTCTAAAGTGATTCTCCCTTATGAAAACTTTCTATGTACCTTCCAAAACAGCTACTCAGCCTTCCTGGGAATTGTGAACATGATTATGACATTGTAGGGCTACAGTAAGAAAAGTTTTCCCCAAAAGACATCCTAAGGGCTGCTGAAAAAGAACAAAGAATTTTTAAGCCCTTCCAACTATTGTCTTTGGAACAGTTTGAGACAGATGAAACTGCAAAGGAGGACTCTTTAGGGCCTGAATTTACTACTTCTTCTTGATTTCTCTTTCACATCCCACACTACTGACAGTAACTTCTAATCCCACGAGCATATTGCTGCCTGCATAGCCCATTGTTTAAACACCACCTGTCACGGTCAGAGGAGACTGTGCAGTGGAAAGATGTGCTAAAGTAGAAAATTTCTCTTCTTAGGTTACTCACAGTTGGCCACAGCAGCAACAACTAAAAAAACAGTATATGATGTAGGCACTAACTGAGTGGAAGAAAAATCATATAAACTGACTACAGTATATATTTTTCCACTACCTATTAGTTTCAGCATGGACATTGCAGGGGAATCATGCCACCCCAGCAGCTCTAACATTGTTGTTACCAAAGAATATGGGTAAGAGAGAAAAATGCACCATCACATGCATATACACCACCACATTCACTTCACATGCACAGATACAACATTCGTCAAGCCAGCACTTTTGGTGCCTTTAGCACACTTAAATCCCTGGTTAGGCTAGACTCACAAACACAAAGAATGTTACCTTGTTTCAGGAAAGAATGCTTATCCTTTAGGAAGCCCTCAATAGCTTTTCTTTCTTTTGCATGACAAAAATCTGTCCATTTTATGTATTGTGAGCACATCTAGATTTTGCTCTAATCTGAAACTACCATCGGGTCATAATTTGTTGCTCAGCCTCAGCAAACCCACAATACCAGAAAGTATCCTATCCTTCTCCTAGGCAGTCTCTGTGACACCTACAGTGCATATCAAAATGAACTAGATCTTATCTTTTATGTACTGCAAATTAATTGCCTGAGCAATGCTCTTAGATGATTGTCTATCTCCTTTGCTGGCTGAGATGACTTCATGGGTATGTCTGTTCTGATCAAGCAACCAGTCAAATAGATTAAACCTCAGCTAAGCTGGCTTTGAATTTTAAATGGAATACAGGAAGAGAAAAGAGGTCCACAGCTGGATGCTGGCTTTAGTTGGGAAACAACAGCTCAGCCTCTGCTGCCTGCCTCCTATCTGAAGCTCACATAGTTAGAGCAAGAGTTTTCTTTTTCCACCCTGCTTCATTAGCTACATTTATGCAGGTGGTTCTGATGTCAGTCAGGAAGGGAAAAAACTATCACCTCTTCCACACTGAGACCAGCAACTGCTGCAACTGCAGTGCTGAGACTGACTTCCAACTGCTGCCTTTCTCTAATATTCAGTAGCTGAGTAACAGAGAAAAGTGTCTAATCTGGGTAGCCACCAGTCTCCCTGGGGAGTTGCCATATATTAATTGTTCAGTGCTGTAATGGAATAGAGGAACACAGTGATCTTGACTAGGAAGCACTGATATATGTGCCTGGCATGTCCATAAACTCGATGGGTATAAGACAAAGGCAGCACTCTTAAGTCACACATGGTGTGGAGTTATTTTTCCACTTTGAGACTCACTTCACTTTTTTTTTCCTTTTTTTTTTTTGTTTGTTTTTGGTGCTGTAGATTTTGAGGGTTTTTTACCTTGGCCAATGATGTTTCCAAAAATACAAAACCAAGCGAAAAATTGTTGACACATCATTCAGTCCTAGTTCTGGCCACTTCATAATCCCCAGTTTTTCCTCCATGGTTACAATATATTCCATTTGCACTTCTTTCATTTAGAATATCTTTCATTTTGTTAGGATCCTGTTGTGCCCAGCTATTCCTCTCTTTCTCCTTAGTTCAGATATACCTGTCAAATTTTCAACCACATAAAATAATCTATACCGGAGCTACTATATTATTTACTGGTCCCTGTTTAGGACCATGGAATTTTTGTGCTGAGTGCTCTGTAATAATTCAAGTCCACTGCAGTACTCAGGGAACAGTCTCAGAACTCTTATCCCACATTTATCTGGACAAAAAAAACCACACAAGTAGTAGCAAATGTTTATTGATACTCCATGCATGCATACACATATATTACGCACTCTGATGCCCCTTAGTTTTCCTTCCTAATTTGTTTTGAAAGGAGAATATAGGACCCTGTAAGAAGAAAATGTTGCATGCTGAATGATTCTTGCTGATGTGATGCTGAATAAAATGACTTTGCAAGAGGCCTAGATTTGGTTGATCCATTTTGCTACTCCTTACCACAATGATTCACTGTGGTGTATGAGAAAACTGTTGCTGTCCAATGCTGCTGAATTAATGGAATGAATGTCACAAAAAAAGAAAACTTCAGGGTAAGAACCAGTTTGAAGTAAGACTATGATTTCAACAAAGGCCAGCCTGTGCAGAACTTCTAGTTACATGGGGTGTACTGACCAGCTAAGAGAAAGAATATATTGTTTAGGTGTTCTTTTGAAGACCTTGGAAGAGAAATGTAGGGGGAAATCCTGGCCTTTTCTGCAGTAAACACCAAAATTCCCATTCACTTTGTTAAACTAAGATTTCGTCTCGTGATTGAAGCAGAAATCAGTCTCAAAGCTGGGGCAGCAGATGGTTGAGTCAGGATTTGGGACACAGATTTCAGGAGTGTAGACAGGATTCAGAAAATGCTGGCAATTAGGAATGGAACTAATAATTGAGCTTGCAGATATAAAACTCCTGAGATACAGAACGTAATTTTAAAATTGAACATCATAAAAAATGTCTTTTTAAATTTTTTTTTAGTGCCTCAACAGAATAAAAATGTCATAAAATTACCTTGATTATGTCATCATAGAGAGAACTACTGGCCTCTTAAGAGAACTGTTATGAAAATAATCAAGTTCAGAAAGTATTTACAATCACTTAATATACCTTGAATAAAAATATTTCAGTTTGACTTTATCTGAAGCTCATTTCTGTATACCTAATACTATTGCCACAGTATAATACACAATATATTAGTATAGGATAAGCTCATAAATAAGTCCATTACAAATATAATTTTAATATTATAAATATCAAATAACTATTAATGAGAAACAATTTGGTATAAAATGGCATTTTGCAAATAAAAATTGATTGGTAAAATAGCTATCAAAAACTACTGGAAAACACAACCAAAAAACTTCATACCACTTAATAAATAAATAACTGTGCAGCTTTCCATGTTAGAATTAGAAATAGCTTTCATTCAAAATAAGGAAGAAAACTGAGATGTATATTTCTTACTCTACGAAATGGTTTAATGTATACACCACTTACAGTTAGAGCATTGCCTCAGCACCATTCATATGTGACTAATATGAACATTGAGCAGAATTAGAAAATCTAATGCGACCAGGTCAAGATCTGTGATATAATCTGCAGTTTACAGGGTGAAAAAAAAAAAGAAAAACAAACAAAAAACAAACAAACAAAAAAAAGCAATCTGGATAATATTAAAAAAGGGGTTTATGGCATTTTTGTGAGCCAGTAATAGTTTTTTTTTTTTGTTCTGCTTTGGTTAAATCAGTAAAAGTTCCTTGATGTTCAGTACCTGGGTAAAACCAGATAATTTAAGTACCTTCCTAAAGTTGCCTAATCCTAAGTCTTCAATTTCTGTTTGAATCTTGGTCATTGTACTTATGAGCTGGAACAGTTTGAATGGGAATAAAGGGAGAGACTTAACAGACTCTCCTATTGATAACCTAATGCCCATACTGATCTCACTATATTTTTAGCAAATTTTTTAGACTAAAAAATAAAATTAAGTTTAAAATTGAATGAAAATATAAGAGAGATGTTATGCAATGGAGGAGTAAGCACTTTCTTTGCACACAGATGTATCTCCAAATCATAAATGGCAAAAAATTGTGATCACCCACAGGAAACTTCTTGTTGTCCTAATGCATTGTGATTCAGTTTTTATATGGAAACAAGTTTCAGAGGTTATTGAATTGTTAATTTTTCAGGTTTTCTGTCCCTTTTCTTTCCAGTAGATACCCTATTATAATGGAGACTGTGCATATTAAAAAGAGAAATCCAAACATTAATCTTTCATTTGTGAACAAATATATTTGACAGAGCATACATTTTTTTGAGTGTGGACTAGATGTTGACAGTAAAAAACCATTCTATTTCTATTGAATGTTTCTTCTTTGTTACAAAAAGGAAAGTTTACATGTATTGAAGTCCGATTTCACCTTGAGAGACAGATGGGTTACTATCTCATCCAGATGTACATACCAAGTCTATTGATTGTGATTCTCTCCTGGGTGTCATTTTGGATCAATATGGATGCAGCTCCAGCCAGAGTGGCTTTAGGCATAACAACTGTGCTGACCATGACAACACAAAGCTCAGGTTCACGAGCATCTCTTCCAAAGGTAGGCGAAATTTCCTTTGTTTGTACTACATTAGTCATAATGTTATGTGACAAACACTTACAATCGACCTTATGTGTTTTGATTATTAACATTCAACCATTTTCTAAAGGCGATAAATAATTTTGAACTATTTAGGGGGGGCTTTTGATTCTCCAGACAAATACATTCTATTTCTCCCATCTCAACTATTTACCCAACCGCGTAACTGCTAAATTCCATGAACCTTAACAAGAAATGGAAACAATGTTATTCGATACTACATAAATACTGCTTAGTAATTGACTGGCTCATCCTTTTTCACATCCCAGTATCTGATAACATACTAGTAGTTACAACTGAAATTCTAAAGGCCACAGATCCTAACCTGTTCTCAATTACATTCCTTTCTCAAAAACTGCCAACATTATGAATTAACTCACTACTTACAAACACAGTTACATTAAAATGTAGAAAAATGTGAACCTAAACAGCTCCAAACAATTGTGTAAAAAACATTTAAAACACAGTGTAAACCACTTAAAGTTTATTTCTATTATTAATTATTCTATTATTAATTATTCAGTTTTCTGAATTATAATTACTTTGAATATTTTCTGTTTCATTTTAAGGCTTATTCCTTGACCTTCTTCATGTGTCATTGCAATTAATAAAAATAAAATGTATACAATAAAAATACACAAAGTCCCATTCTGTGTTAGTTTTACCATAATATTTTTAGGTTGTCTAGTTGCATTTTTTTCTAAGTAAAATCGATAGCCCTAAGACAACTAAGCATGCTCTGTGTCTTAGATATATGGATCTGAATGCATCCAAATGTAGCATCAACAACTCAGAAAAACAATGTAAGAGATTACCAGAGAGTTATATATGGGTTTTGTCAGATTTTGAGGCCTGACGCTAACTATATTTGCTTATATTAAAAAGCTCTTGTAAATCTGCGCACAAAGAGGGAGCAGGCCTTACTTTCTTGGTTCAGATTATGTCCTGCATCTGAGCTTGACCATATGGGATTGCAATGAGCTCTATTCTGTATCTGATTCTCAGGACTTTCACTGTGTCAAAATTACAGGACTAATTTAAAACTATATATTTGATTTACTGCAACTATATTAGCAATGAATGAACATATCAGAGTTCTCCACCTATGTCCTTCTCTATCTAATTTTATTGCAGGAATTTTCAGTTGCATCCATTTTAATACAGGAATTCCCACTGGTCCTACCATAAGCTATTCTTTGATTCCTTAGTGTCATTCACAGATCTCAGTGAGAGAAATGGAGGAAGAGCGTGCGTTTCTTGTGGATTATTTGGTTTGGGATGTTTGTGATACAGTGTACTACAAGGAACTGTTAATGATTTAAACACACTTTGTGAAAGAGTAAATGTTAAAAAATAACAATTTATAGATTGAATTTTTATTCCTCTTATTATGCAATTTCATGTTAATTTTTGTTTCATAACAGTAGTGTGGGGATGTGGAGGTATTAATGCACTTCCTGCTGACATGAAATACTTAATTTCACATCTGTGGCTTTAACATATTCAGTCTTCTCCTTTCTTATGTCTATAGGTGTCATATGTCAAAGCCATTGACATCTGGATGGCAGTGTGTCTGCTGTTTGTATTTTCTGCACTTCTGGAGTATGCAGCTGTAAACTTTGTGTCAAGGCAGCATAAAGAACTTCTGCGCTTCCGCCGCAAAAGGAAGAAGAGCAAGGTAAAAGTAATGGTATTCACAGCTTTGAAAGAGAACCTGACTGAATTATGCCAGGATATAGGGTTAATTTGGTAAATGTGCTACAGTTTAAAGTGGCAATATAAATAAAATGGCAGCACAGCATAAAATTCACTATAGGCAGAGGGTAGCTACAAGGACTGTAAATTGTATAAATCCAACTTGAATTCCTGAAGGAGGGATTAAGAGGGATTTAAATGAGGCATGGAGCATGTAGGAGCCATCTGCACAAACATGAATTTCACTCTGTTAGAGGAGTTAGATTATTCTTCAGTGAATGAATGTTGCTGGTATTTGCAGCAGTTTGTACTACATTGAGATTCAACAAATAATGTTTCCTAATTTAATTCTAGTACTCAATTCAAAGCCTTAACAGCTGTGTTTCATGCAAATATTTTTTAATACAAGAAATACTTTTTCAAATAACATCATTGGTGAAGAATAAACATTTTACTTTAAAAGGCTGATAAATGTGTGTTTTTTTCTTCTGTCCTGCTAATTTAGTGTGAATTGTTCATACAAATAGTAAAAAACTTTAATATAGTAATGGCTATTAATATTTATTTTATAGCTGGAGATATATAGACTACCGTAAAATAACTCACTGCCAGTGTGCAAAGTCAAGCAGCTAAGGCTACAAGTTTGAACTCTGAAGCCTGTAGTTAAATAAAGCAATAATGAAAATTTCTTACAGCAGTATATAATTCCTACTTCTGATTTCATGAAGAGTAAATAGTTCTCCAGCCTATCCATTAAATGAGTACCCACCTTTCCACAGGCTTTCAGTTACTATCTAGAATATTACTAGTGAATGGAAGTCTGATCAAAACAACATGATTCAGTTCTGTTGTCTTTCATTCCTGAAGACTTACCACATGTTTACTGCTTACATGTAAAGAGAAGGCATTTTATAGGTTGTTTCGCTCTTACTTAAAAGATATTGCAAATCTGCACTGCTGTAAAACCTACCTAAGCAGTCTCTGCTAGTAAGACTGTGTGTTAAGAGGCAGGCTGGACAGTCAAATGAAAATGACATTTTCACACATTTACCTGCCATTGTGTGTTGAGTCCCAGATTTCTTAAGCTGCACAGAGAAACTCATCTGCTGTAACCTAGATGATGATTCAGACCGCATGTACCTGCTTTCAACATTCATCCCGGTGAAAAATGGGCTTTGTTCTTCTCCCTGACAGTAGCAGAAAAAATAGAAGTTTTGTGACAGAGTATTTGTTTCTGAAATATGGCAGCTCTCTGAAAGCTGCTTAAAGGTTTGGAATGGGAAGAATGGGATGGGGCAGACACAGATTACTGGACAGATGTAGGTGAGCCCCAACAAATGCACGGTGTATCAAATACAAACAGCTGTGGTGGGTGATATATTATGTCACTGTACCTTTAGTCCATTCATCTTTCTTACCATGTTGAGAAAGTTTCTTCTGGATCTCAAGCAAATTCACCACATTCAACTTTAATGACATCTTTCTTAAATACAGGTCAATTATTATGAGCATAGGGTTAGAAACTGGTAGGTGATATCTTCCTTCCTTGGAATCAACCCAAATCTCTTTCCAGCTCTCTCTTAGCAAGACTTCAAACTCACCAAAGACACTTATTCAGCAATCACAATCAATGAAATTTCATCTTAGAGGTATGTAAGGGAGGATCCACGATATGCAAAACAATGCTAAAAGAAGACCTCTTAAAAAAAATATGCACATGAACAACCTCACTGATTTAAGTGTTTTGCTGGATTAGTGCTCGACATCACAGTATTTTTGAATTCAAGCTTAGAAGTCCTTATTCTAATTTTACACTTCATTAGACAGTCTTTAGCTTCAGGTAGGTTGCCTCCTAGGTTGTCATAAAATCACAGGATTAAACCTAGAGGGTATGTACTAAAGTACTCCCCTTAGATTCTGAAGGATGGAGACATGCACTTCAATGCTTTTCTTCATAACACACCCAGGTGAGGGTATTAAATATTTTTGGGGGTATATGGCTTTCCCTTCTTCCTGTATCTGTAAGCTTCATCATCAGACAGGCTTCTCAGTATAAATTTACCAAAAAATACTTTCTTCCTATGCAAGGTTATGATTTTAGAGAAACAGTAATTTTTCAGAAAATATTAATTTAACTAAATGTTTCCTGACTCACTTCCAACCCATGTAGAGCTAGAGCTCCTGGTCAGAGTTAACCTCTGAGAATACACCTTCGCAAGCTTTAGAGACAGTTCAGCTAACTGATTCTCTCTTTCTCAATGTTTTATTAAACCATTCCTTGCCAACAAGTATACAGGATTGGAAACATTACAGCATGGAGATTTTATTTCCTCCAAAAAATTTGAATCACATCCTAAACCCTCTGGTATACAAATAATAAATTATGTTTTACAGATTAAAAAATTCAGTAAATAAGTAGCCTTCCTTACCACAAATATTATTATTTATTCACCACAATTTCTAACATGAAATGTAGTCCCCAGGATCATAAGTCAAAGTAACCTGTTTTTTCTTTCTCTTTTGTCTTTTTCAAAGTTGGCTACTACAGCTCATGATTATAAAGTTTTGTATGTTTGTTATCCTATTGGACTAGGTCAAACAGACGCTAGCTGTCAAGAATTAGATTGCATTAACTTTTAAAACTCTATAAAGAAATGTTTATTTGGCCACAAAGTCAAAAAAGGTGAAAAGAAGTTATTTTAAAAGGCTACATTTAAAATAAACTTCAGAGGCTCCCTTGAACATTAAATCCTCTGCCTTTGCAAAGTGAAAAACACTAGTCTATTCAGTATTTATGTCCAAAACTATTAGAGAAATATATCCATTAGGATAACTTATTAGACTTTTACATTCTGCATGCTTCCATTCTTGGGACACTTTACTAATGTCAGTTTTTTCTACCAGGTGAATTCTAACTGTTAAGTACAGATTTTTTTTTTTTTTGCATTGGCATTTTATCTGCAACGGCACAGCAAAACTTATAGTGATTCGACTGTGTTGCAAAAGTAAAAAAATAGATGAGTTTGGAAATATTTTGTTCTAGATATGTGTTGACAGAAGAGAATATTTATGAATAATATCTAATTGCAGTAAGGCAGTTGAAGAATTTTCAAAGTCTATTTTCTTTGTAATTAGAAAAATAGGTTTGTTGCAAGAAATATTTACTTTTACCAAGTAACCAAAACAATAGTACAATGATTGAATTTCAGTGCCTTTGGGAGGTCAGTGGATTTTCCTGACTTAAGTCAAGATCATTTATACCTAATTCACCTCAGTCATAAAAATTCCGCAAGCTCCCCTGAAATCTATTCCAATTGTTTAAAAAGTTTTTTACTACTGCTTTTTTTGGCCTCTCATGGCTTGTCTAGGAGGGACACAGAAAACAGATTACTTCTTTCCTTTATGTCACCATTTGCACATTTCCATTCAGTATTTTCTTTAAGTATTCCCAGTTGGTACAGTTTTGGGGTCTGGTTTGGGGTTTTGGTTTTATTATTTTTTTTTAGTTTGTTTTTTCTCATTTGCCTTCCCTGTAAATTCTCCTAATAAGTCCATATACTTCCTCAAAACTGTGTTTGCAACATGAACAACATGAAATCTACCCAGTAACAGTTAAAAACAACCAAAGGATCAAATGATTCAAATTATACACTTGTTTATCCAAATCATTTTATCATTTGCATTCTAAACAACATCATGTTATTGACCCATATCGGGACTGTGACCTTCCATATCTTCTGGGTCTTTTTCCAGAACTACTGCAGAGCCATTGGGTTTCCATCTTATGCTTGCAAAGTTGATAATTTCTGGCTAAATGTATTTGCATCTACTGACTCTCCTTCTGTATTTTTCAGATGCTTTGTTCAAATCATTGAATTCAATTCTAACTCTAAACATATCCTCAAACAAATTTGAAGGTTTTCATAGGTTGGAATATTTTGTAAATTTAATTAAAAGTATGGGTTATTCCTTCTCATTGCTGGTTGAAAACACAAAGGAACTGGAAAAAAAGCATATGATGGAACTTGGATAAGACCCTTGCAGTGAATTATACGGTTATACAAATTGCGATTGTGTACAGAGTGTAATAAGATATTTTGGGATACAAAGCTCATCTATCCTTGCCATTTTTCTAATGCTTTGTCCAACTATAGTCACTTCCACTTTTTTACATCATCTAGTTCATTTGCAGCCTCCCTTCCCAGACAACAGTTACAGCAGCATCAAAGGCAGTTCTTAGGTATAACAGCACCCTCTGGCCACCCTTTTTATGATTGTAAGTATGGACCTCATTCAATGACTCCAGATAACTAAATGGTAAATTTCTTTCCAGGGGTCCAATCCAATTTGCACAGAATTAACAAAAATTTTGAAGTGTCTGGGATTGTGTTATAAATACATTTATAAATAAAAACTATTATTGCAACATAATATACAACCTACTCATTGCATTTGCCAATGAGCATCACAATAGGTATAGGAGATTTTTTTAAAGGGTCTAATACCTTTATGATTACAAAAATGGCATAATGAATCCTGAGAACAGGGGAATTTTAGTTCTCAATTTGAGACCTCATTTATTATTCAGTATATGAGCCATAGTGCTTTGTCTCTGACAGAGAAAAAACCTGTCTAGTGAACAGAACTATTTCAGAAACATTATATTACCATTCCTTCAGAATGAATGAATATTAATTATTCATTTACAGTTACACTCCTTTCCGTCTTGAAAGACAAAAGGAAAAAAATGGCAGAATTAGAAGTCATACAGGGATACTGAAACACACCTATGATCAGTGCTTTTTCTTAGTTGCATTCACATTCTATGGGGAAAAATATTAACTCTGTATATATACTGAATAATAACACTTTTATTTTAGATCAGCTGTTAATATGTATTTAGTTTTCAGGACTATTCAATCTTTAATCCTATTTTCAAAAATCTAAAGATCACCATATCTTTAGAGAGGAAAATAGACATGCAAACTAGATTGTCTGTAATGGTAATCACACCTCTTTTCTTTTGTTTTCTTTTTGGTCAACCCATCCGTTTTGATGAAAGTATTTTGAGGGAATTCTTGATGGAAATGAAATCAGTGAATCATTACAGCATAGCAATGGCTTGAGATGTACAGGACCTATAGACGGGACTTTGCCTCAAATCTACAGTACAAATTTAAGGGTAAACTATGAAGAAGATTTCCCATTTGTCATAATGTGATATCCAATCATTAATAGAGGCCCTGTCCTTTTGTCTGAAATAATGTCTTCCCATGTGAACTTCATATACCTTCATTGCTACCTGTATGTGATGACGTGAAATGTTGATAAAGGTACTGTCTTGGTAATTTCATAATCCATTTTGATCTGTTTAAATCTGGATTAAAACATAGTATTAAAATTTTGCAGTTTGTAGTGCAAGACAATTCATTAACACTTTCCTTCTCAAAACTGAACAGTAAAAAATGTAGTGTTCAAATTACCAGAGCCAAGGCTTCAAATAAGCTTTCAAGTTGCTACCACAACCTATAATCAATAGGCTGTGGAGTTATTTTCAGCCCTTATATATATTATTTCTCAAGATAAATGTATTATTAAATATATGGATGGAAAACAGCATGGTCACAAGACCACAGACAGTGACAGCTTTCTATTAATTTATACTTCAGTATTTTGTAGAACAGCACTGATACAGAAGTAACCTAATTGAAATTACTTCCTTCAGATCTTCAAAGAATTCTAACTTTCTAAATGAAAATTGCTATCTAAATTTACTTGCACTCTTAAATTACAGTAATTTTAATAGAGATGATAAAATATTTATGTCTAACTGTATGCGGAATAACTTTCCAGTTGTGAATTTTAGAGCTGAACATGTGACAAGTGCATTCAAATCAAACTCTTACTAAAATTCATCCATGATAGGATTTTTTAAGTTTTATCAAAAATCTATGAGAAATCACTTTCTTTGGTGATGATCCACTAAAATACACAAAGGGAAATAAAAGCTTCCTTATTATTTATAAAATTCAAATAATCTAACCAATATGGAGGACTTTTTCAGGAGAATTAACTGTCCAGATTATCAACTGGAGTATACAGGGTGTGTCTTTTAGATGATTTCTACAGTGGCGGACTCAGAGGCATGCATTCTGAGAAATATTTCTAGTCAAAAAGACAGACTTTAGCCAAGCCAATCAACAATAAAAAAAAAAAAAATGGCATGTCACTGACATTTTATATAAATGCCTTTGAAAAAGTACTCAAAAGTTAACATCAATAATAACAGTAAATGCATCTTTCCTGCTGTGCACAAGCACCCTCATATGAATCTGAGGCCAAGTTAGTGATTTTGCTGCATTACAAACCTGCTGGAAAACTTGCAGAACCACATTTTGAATAATCCAGTTGCTACCCTAGAAAAGAACTATGGTGGCAATTCCTGCTTATCCATTAGCCCTAGCACTTTGATCTGACTTGGCAGGCTCCAAACATCCTGCCTGACCTCATGGAGACACCATCCAACAGACACTGGGCAAAAATGCTGGACTCCTAGAAGGACCTTCACATCACTTCCTCAACAACAGAGGGCATTTCCAAGCAGCCTGCTGGCAGACTGAATACAGGATGTCTGCAAGCATAAAAAAAAAAAAGGAGAGATCTGTCCTTGAAAACATTCTAGGGGATCATTCCATTCAGGTAAGCCTAAAACAGAGACAGTAAAGTCTTAGTATATAGTACCTCATCCTGAAAACATGTATAACTGAAAGCTGCTACTCAGGAATTATTTTACTGTCTTTCTCAGCCTGTGTAATTATAAGCATTATTTTCTGGAGAAGCATGAAAAGACAAAACTCTGAAATGCATATATGACAGTGTTTAAATGGCAAGCTCATGGTAAATTCTCAAAGTCCATGCATTTGTAACTTAATACTTCTGTTAGCTGAAATACAACACTACAACTCCTCTGGAATACAACTGCTTTAAAGATGTTACTTCCCATTCTTTTCTGACAGAAGAGGAACACTATTGTAGCAATTAAATCTCTGTTTTATCACGTCATCAAATAATGATCCTATCATTTTGTATTTCTGTTATTCATTTCCATAGTAAAATAAGTCAGTGATTTTTCCTCCTTTTCTTTCATGTTAATTTTTCTTTATTTTTGTGTTTTTAAAGGCAAAATCTAATACAAATTTGAAGTACAGTAGTTTCAGTGAACTATATTACTCTCTTCATTTATTTACTTTGCATATATGAAAAAGTATTGCAGTTGGGGGATAACTACATCTCTTGTGGATAGTCATCCTGACAGCCAAATAATTCACTTCAAACTTAGTGATTTATCTGCGTTCTTTTGTAGCTAACTTATTCAACTATTAAGAATCCTCACTGGATTTTTTTTAAAAATAGTAATTAAAAATGGTTCTTCAAGTAAGTACTATTGATGGAAGTTTTAAATATTTTTAGAATTAATTCTCCATTGAAAAATATTTTCAGATTTACCAAATGTCACAGGCAGTTTCAGAATGAAAAGTTTGGAAGCTTGGATTTTAGCTGAGCACTTTGAGAAATTCTATTTGTATAAACTAAGAGGTTAAAGTGAAAAAAAATTGCTTCAGAACTATTGAATTGAAACTCTAATTATTTGACTTTGGTACATAAATAAATAAATACTTTTTTAGCTAGGAAGTGCTTTAAAATATCAAAAATTCGCTTACAAAAGGAAAATTGCTGCTCACCTCCTTTTATAATACTTATGTGAATTATTTTTCAAAATAATTATGTAAGAACTAACATATCCATAATAATTTATATACTTCACGAAAGTCTAAAATCCTAAAGCAACTAGGATAAATTAGGCATGAAAAATAGACATTCTTTAATTTAAAATTATTGAAAAAATGGTGAATGCCATCAAAATCATGTGACTATCCTTGAGGCACCGACATAGTGAAGGAGTATACTGGAATATATTTCAGAACCAAATTTGGCTCTGGCTTCACAGACTATATATCATTTATTTGCCTGCATGTGTGCCTCTTTTACTGCTTGAGGATACCTATAACTAGGTAAAGAGAAGTAAAAAATATGTCTCCAGACACAAGCTACATTTTTTAATGTATGAATATTGTAAATGTAAATTAATATTGTAGATATGAATAATGTAAATATGAAATATGAAAATATGTCTATCTTCAGACCATGTACTTTTGTTTCTGTGCGATGTAATTAAAAATCACTTTCTCTTAAAGTTCCCTGAATTCTGAATATCTTTGCCAATTTTCCCCTGAATTGACAGAAGAATGAGTTGGAAGAAAAATCTGGCCTTTAGTTTTCATTCATTTGTATTTTAAACTAAGACACTTTACATACTATTCTCTTTATCTGTTGCATTCACACAGATCAGCAGAAATAAGGCATACAGATACAATTAACTAAATATACAATGGCCAAATATGCAGAATTCTCACTAATGTAATTAATGTGCAAAATATTAGTGATTTTATGATAAATATCTCTAGATATCTAGAGGCCAGGATCCTGGTTTGTTAAGCAGTGTACAGGTTTAATGGGTGTTGTCTAAAAGACCATTGTGAAGTTTTTCCATTTGAAGACTGTGGATATTTACTGTAAATGGGGAAACTTAAACTGTTAGTTTACTAAGTTTTCTCATTTCTCTGAGTAGATTACAGAATCTATAAACAAATAGAAAAATTCTGTGCTTGTTAAAACTCCTACAATATTTTTGACAGACACTGATAGGGATGAAATTTCAACCAGTTAAAATAAACTGTGGATTCAAGAAGTCATTGAGGTAATGGTGCAACTGTTACTTAGCAGCAGGTAAGATTTGTGTAAATAAGAGTAATTAAAAAAAAAAAACTTCTTGCTCATTTTCTTTATATTCTTTTTTTTTTTTTTTTTTTTTTTTGTCCAACAGGATGATGATGCACGTGAAAGTCAGTTTAGCTTTACAGCATATGGAGTGGGCCCATGCGTGCAAGCAAAAGATGGAATGACACAAAAGGGGCCAAATAATCCTGTTCAAGCTGTACCAAAAAGCCCTGATGAGATGAGAAAGGTATTCATTGACCGGGCCAAGAAAATAGACACAATATCCAGAGCTTGTTTCCCGTTAGCCTTTCTGATTTTCAACATTTTTTATTGGGTAATTTACAAAATCATCAGGCATGAGGACATTCACCAATAACAAGACTAAGGCTTGCAATACATAAAGATCTGGCTGTCACACTCGACCAGAAGCTTTTTTTTAGAAATGCACATCAGAGGAGTGACTGGAAGAGTTAAAAACACTGAGGTGGTGAAAAAAGATCCTGCGTGGACTTCAATGACCAGGATGGAAGAATGACACCCAGAAAAGATACACCTGCTATTGCAAACTTTCCTTGTAAAGCTAAATATTAACAAATTTTTCATTGTAAATCACTCTCTACTGAACCTTTACTGCCAAGTATTGATACATACTGTTACACAGTGGTATAACTGTACAGTACTCTCTGATGTTCCTTAATTTTTTTTTTTTAATTCTGATGTATTTTTAATTTTAAAAATGGTTCCTGAGTACCCTAGGTAAATCTCACAGTATTACAGAATAGATTAGTGTTTGTAACCTTGATTTCAATTTTACAATATAATGACAAATTACTGATTGGAGAAAACAATTTAAAGGACTTGATCTAGTCTTAAGGACAGTACTGGTGGTTTTGCAATGAATATATTTGAGTCATATTTAAGTCATATAATTTACTAAATGTATATTACTGTTCCCGTTTGTTGAAATAGTCTCTGTCAGCACAAAGTATACAGCCTAATAGTCTGCCTATCCAATGAGAAATATATTAAAATTTGTAAGGTATTGACTCCTGCAAAGGATTTTTTTTCCTTTTAATTACTCACACTTTGATAATTGAAACATATTTTTTAATATTTTTTATATTTTAAGGGTTTTTTTCCTCAATTCATAAAACTCATGCAGCTAGTGAAATAGACAAACTACATCAAAATTTTGCAATACTTCACTTTGATTCAATGCAAAGAGATCTTGGACCAAAACTGAAAGCAAGTAGTGAACTCCACTGAAGCATTTGGAGGATGAACACAGTTATGTTTATGCACATTCATCTCCTACATGTTACATAAATATAGGAAGCTTAATTTATGAATATATCAAGTTTTCTGACTCATGCTTTGAAGTTTATTGATATAACTTAGATATTACTTAAGAAGCACTTTACAACTTTGGAGAAACATGAAGCTCATCTAAAACATAAAAAAGGATCTGGATGGTCTTTTATATTTACTGTATTTCACATTAATAAATAGGAGAACAACCATTAAAATTCTTAGAAAAATCTTCCCTGTTTAGGTTTAAATAAGTCATTTTAGTTGCTTCTTTGAATTGTAACACCATAGATCAATCTTGTCTATTGGAAAACAAAACTATGCTAAGATATGAAAATGCATCATTTAGAATTATTAGATACTCTAAGTCCAGTAGCTGAGGCTGATTCTCATTGCAAAATATTTTTATTTTGAACAGGTTTAAAATTTTTGGTTTGTTGTTTATCAGAATGTGTATACAAAAGCAAAATCAGCTGGAAACAAACATCTGTTGCACTGCCAAAGGCATGGTGCATACGAAGAAGCAGTAGCAATGTAACTCTGCACTGAGTAATATAGCAACCTTGGCTTTGGTTTGTTATTGTTTTCCTCCAAAGATTACTTAGAGAGATTCTTTTATAGTTTTACTTCACTTATGATCTAAAATTAATTCAATTTACTTAAATTATTTTTTTTCTTGCTGAGATGGTGTCTGCTTTTTGTTGATCTATTTATGTGCATGTTCCAAAATATCATGTTCACTTATGAAGGTGCTCCTCTGTGTGAGGAGGTGTCATGAACTAATGGTTGATATTTCGGTTGAGTTATATTCACCTCTCTCAAATGTCATTAACTGTATTGTATGAAAAGGGATGTTAATTTGCTTCTATTAGTAGCAAAGTCAACAGTATTTTGTTTAAGGGCTGTTTTCAAATGCACATAACTTTTGGCATATCATTCTGCTGCCCTCAGGTGAGTAAAGATGTTCTATTTTGATATAATGGAACCAAGATCTCTCCTGAACTGGTTTTATGGGTTGGTTTTTTTCTCTTACTTTTGCCAAGGTAACAGAGGCCTCCGCAGTCCACTAATAATGTGTTTTTCAAAAGAAATAATAACTTAAAATTCAATTTTCACTTAGATTATTCCCAAATGACTTAGTGTAAAGGCACATGGTAAAGAAAGAGAGAAATGTCATTTGAGATGATAAGAAACTTCAAGGCACAAACGCCTGCTGTTCACCACTGACTAGGGGAAAAGTCCAAAACTGCCAGCTGGCATGCCAGCCCTCTTTACAAAGCTAGAATCAATAGCTACAGACATCAGCTAAGATTAGTGTGGGAGTTGATTCTTTTGTAACTTTATAGTGAAGCAGCAGAGAATACTATTAAGATGCAAGAATTGAAGGTACTCTGCGGTGTTTGTCAGGCTGCAGTATTCGTGCTACAGTCCCATGAAAGAGACAGTGGAGAAGCAGAAAAATAGTTATCAAGGAAATAATGCTTGAGGCAGATGGTATCTAGCAGGGGTCCATCCACATATAAATAAGAATCCATTAATTAGGCTGAAGTAGATAGCCACCTCATTTCACTATCACTGGACCAGGCCTGAGTACAAGTCCTTAGCAAACAACAAGGCTTCTTTTAAGCACAACCCCTGTATGAAAGGCTCATGTAGCTTTGTCCAAAGTCATTATTCACCACAGGTGCAGACCCTGTAGTTCTCAGGTCATGTTTTTGTGGTCTCTGTAGTCCAGCCCTGTACTTTCAAAATAAAATACTGATACTAGAAGGACATTGGAACACAATGAAAAGAGAGGGAGGCACCATAGGATCTGGAGGAATACCCCAATAACACAGCTACTAAAGAACTGGCACAGTCACTTCAAAGGGAAAAAAGGAAGGATGAGACATCCTTATTATTTTTCCCAGTCTCACAGTATCCTTGCCATAGGTACAACTGTTCAGGCAGGAGCAGTAGCTGCAGGGAGAAACAGTTTATATCAACTGCTACAAAGTATATATTGTTTTCTGAGAGCAGTTTCTACCTGTGCAGATTGACTTCCTCACCATCCGCTTTCCTAATGTAAAGAGAAGCAAAATAGGAAGGAACAGGATGAAAAGTGTGGGCTGTGCATAGCATAACAGGGGTCACAGGAAGAGAGAAATCCCAAAGCAGAGCCGGGAACCTCTCATATGATTGTCTTTTCTTCCTCTACTAAAAAGAGATGTGGCCCAATCCGTGTCACCCCTCATAATGCCAAAAACTCCAGGACTGAGAGAGGATAAGAAAGGTCCCTTTGAGGTGAGTAGAATTACTGAACTACCACAGTACCAAACTCCTGCTTAAATTCGAAACAGCAAAAGGCATTTTATTTTTAAAATTATATTCAAATACCAACACAATGCGCTCTCATTGTTAGAGGAATGGCTTTTTTTCTCTATAATGCTAACAAACTATAGGAGGCTTGAAGGTGTTTTACTATTTGGAATTCAGCTATTTTCTAAAGAATCATTTGTAGTGTCTGAGGGGTGATTCTGTTTACTCACTAGACAGACATTTAGGTGATTTAGATGTGCACTTTACATTTATGGAGTAAGGTATTGCTTCCACTTTTTGTATTAATCCCTTACAGAACTGTAGGCTGATAATGTAGATAAAAATAGAATATAATAAACTGTACAAAACCTTATATTTTTAACAGTAGGAAAAAATAGAAAGTCTTCCTTAACCTTGGGGGGGGAAAAAGTATTATTTGTAGCAATAATTTTATATTAGATGGAAATAAATTTATTTATACCATTTCCAGCCCAAGCTAACATGGTTGGCTGGAAAAGATGTACTTTTGTGTAACTTCTGCTCTCATTTGAGCTATTATAGGAATTAATCTAATCCAACAGAGAAGAATTTGGCCTTAAACTGTGAAACTGCTAAATGAGCTCATAGTGCTTACAGTACACCTGTGAGATAATAAAATAACTTTATCCACATCTTACTGCACAATCATATGGCTATTTAGATGACAATTATATCAGACCTTCACAGCTCTTTTCCTTTTTGAGACAACTAAGAAGAAAAATACAATTCACAAACCAGACTACTTGTTAATAATAAAATGAGTATTCTGTTTTGGAGTGGTTATGGAAAAGGTGTCTTCAGGCAACACACATCACCTACAGTAATTACTGAAGTACTATCAATTTGGAAGGCTTGTGGAAGCAGGTTAGATTGCTAGAAACAGTGGGTTAATGCCAGAAAAAATGTTGGCTCATCCTGTATTCTTGACATTCTGAAATATTACTGCACTTCTTCACTTTCATCTTTGTGAAATATGCAAGAAACGTTTCTTATGTTTGTATTTTAATGGATGACAGAGTGATACTAACAGATGAAATGGACTAAAGTAGCTACTGATGCTCCATGAATGTGGAATTGTGAGTTGTATAAAAAGAAATTGCACCATAAGCTTTTGACATAAAGGTTTAACATAATATACAGTATTTTGTGTGTTAGTGATCCTGGCTTTTTAAAGGTTACAGCAAGAAAAAAGAAAAATTTATATGATAGTGTATTAATAACTTGTCTGTGAGTTTTCAAAATATTCTCCGTGAGTTCTGTCTGATGGCAATTTCATCTCAAAGTACTTCCTTTTTGGTAAAAATCTATAAATGTGTCGTGCATGGTTTTAATTAGATTCCTTTTTGCTGTATTACAGTATCATATTGCACTTAAGCTGACATTCTCTGCAGACAGAAGTGTTAAAAATGTGAAATTTATGGTAACACCAGTATCATTGTAGATATTTTGTTCAAAAAAAATAAACAACTTTTTTCAGAAAACATGCAATTTTTTATGATATTTTAGGCAACGAATTTAGAGTCAAAGGAGGGAGTATCAACACCATTGGAAAAAAAAGGATTAAATCCTCAGCAGTAGTTAAGGTGCATTACCATTAAGTATTTCAGGAGTGAAAACTTGAGAGAAGGATAGAGTGCCTTCAATTGTTACATGGGCTCCAGTTCTGAAAAAAGCTCATTCTGAAAACTCAAGGAAAGTTATCTTGACAAATATCTATTGAAATAAGTACAGCCATGCTCAAATAGTCCTGCTGATCTTATTATCAAAAAGGCAAAGAACGTCAGTTGCAGCAAAATAGACTTTTGAAAATTTTATAGAACTGTGAGCCCTCCTAAGTATTCCTTGATAAAAAATGCCTGAAGTTAGCAAATAAATCCTTTGCAAACATTATGAGTTCTGATAATCTGATTGCAGCATTGTTAATGCACTTATAAAGAGCACAGAGAACACTCATCTAAGTAATAGCCACATGTCAATGTGATGCCATTTAGACTAGAAATTTTTAACAGACATCACAAATGTTTTGCAGTCCCTGCCCACATATGACAAAAGGCAACATCAGTTCATACATTTCAACTTGCTTTTCACATTGATGGAATACAAAACAAAAAGTTTGACATAATTGCAAATGAAGTATTTCCATTACCTGTCTCTAATAATTCAGTTCAGCAAGCTTATGACTTGGAGCTTTATAAAATAGAAATTTCTCAAGAGAACAGTCAAATGTAACAAGAACAGGGAAACCTTAACAGAATTCTTGAGCAAGCCTTCATAGAGCCCACAGAACTGTGTGATCAGATCTTTACTTTTTGTGACAGCTGTTGCTCCAGCAGATCTGTAACACCTTGTCTTCCCAAAAGCAAAGCATAACTGGTACCTCTGACCTTGTTCCAGTATGTTCCCAGGCAACAACGCCATGAAACCACTGCAATAACAAATGTTTTCACATAGTTCCCAGAGCATGAAAACTGCAAATGTACTGTACCAGGTGAGCAACAAACAATTAAACAAGAAATTAACAGTCAAATAATGTCACCCGAGAGTCATAGAAAAGAGAAGTAACAGATCTTAAAGAGATCAATATATGATTGTATGGCATAAACTATGTGGCCTTTTCAACACAGAATTCTGGAAAATCAGATATCAAATATTCTTTTTCATGATTGTATATATAGCTATCTAATTATTTTTAAAATATCTAATTATTTTTTAAATTTTAAAAAATATTTAATTTCACATAGTCCATACATTAGATTTTATTTTGTACTATCCTACTCACTATACACTATCAGGATCTGAGAAGAATTTTTTTTTCTGAATATGTGAATTCAAAACCAAGGACAAAAATCATCAGAAGTTGCAAACTAGAATTACAGCGAAATTGTCATTTTGGAAATAAATCAAACTTTTTCAAAATTTAAATAATATACTTCTAAACATTTAATAAGCAAATACATATTTTATATATAATGTTTCCTCATTAAAAAAAAAAAAGAGATATTTCAACAATTACTTCACAGACTTACAAAGTCAGAGAATGGCTGATATTGGAAGGGACCTCTGGATGTCATCTTCTGCAAACCCCCTGCTCAAGGAGGGACACTTACAGCCGGTTGCCCAGCATCATGTTCAGATGGCTTTTGAATATCTCCAAGGATGAAGAGTCCACAGCCTCTGTGGAGTGCTCAGTCACCCTCAGAGCAAAAAGTGTTTCGTAATATTCAGAGGGAACATCCTGTGTTTTGGGTTGTGCTCATTGCCTCTGATCTCTTACCACTGAAAAGAACCTGACTCCATCTTCTTTAAAAACTCCACACAAATTTTACACAAATTGATGAAATCCCCCTAAACTGGACACAATAGTCCAGATGTGGTCCTACCAGTCCTGAATGGATGGGAACAATCACCTCCCTCAGCCTGCTGGCAACACTGTTAATGCAGCCAAGCACACCATTAGTCATCTTTGTTGCAAGGGCACATTTCTGGCTCATGTTCAGCTTGGGACCCACAGGACCCCCAGGTCCTGTTCTGAACACCTACTTTCCAGTTGTTCATCCCCCAGCATACACTGGTGCATAGGTTGTTGTTCCCCAGATGCAGGGCTTTGCACTTTCACAAGACTGAAAAAACTTTTCTTGTAATGTTAGTCCTTATTTAAGTGATCTGTATTTAAAACCTCTACTGAGGTAACGAGTTCAGCCTCAAATCCACTTATGCCATGTTTTAATTCCTCTCTTAACAAGCCAAATAACACTCTGACTTACTTGAAAACATCAGGGTGTTACTTTGGATGTGTTTACTTATTCTCAGTAGGTATGTTCAGTAGGTACAGAAGACATTAAACAGTTGTTTCTAAAAGCACATTATACTGCAACTTGTTTTTCCACCTGAATATGAGGAAGCACTTTACTGTGCAGGTGACCGAGCACTGGAACAGATTGCCCAGAGATGTTGTGGAGTCTCCGTCACTGGACATACTCAAGAACCATCTGGATGCAAACCTGTGCAATGTGCTCTAGGATAACCCTGCTTGAGCAGGGAGGTTGGACCAGCTGACCCACTGTGCTCTCTTCCAACCTGACCCATTCTGTGATTCTGTATGAAGTTGGAGTAAACCTCATGTAGGTGTGCTAGATCACTCGTTATGAGTATTAAGATGAACTTATTTAGGAGGATATCGGACATTTTTACAAGTTTCAATTATACTTGATTGCATTATATGCGAATGAGGTTTCCCTCCCCATCCATTTCTTGTTTTATAGTAGCAAAAGCATCGTCATTTCTCCGGACAGTATAAATTAGACCACGAGATGGCTCCCTCGCACATGGATTGAGGGATGTCATGGGTATTTCGGTTTTCTTCCAGGAGATAAACTTCAGCAAAATGCATTCTTCCGGAAGACGATCCAGGCACTGACTGTCATTAGTCAGAGGGAAATTTATAAAGCATAACTACTATTCATGCTACAAATCATACTTCATTTTGAAAGTTATTAACAATAGGTGTGCTGTCATGCTATAATAAAGGCAAAGAAGGAAGTATTAGAAGGCTTCATGGTGACCTAATTGTGACCTTTCAGTACTTGAAGGAAACCTTCAAGAAAGATGGAGACTTTTTTACAGGGAATGTAGAAATAGGACAAGGGATAATGGCTTCAAACTGAGAGTAGGTTTAAATCAGATATTACAAAGAAATTCTTTCCTTTGGGGGTGATGAAGCACTGGAACAGGTCTCCAAGAGAAGCTGAGGATGCCCCACCCCTGCAAGTGTTCAAGGCTGGGTTGAATGGAGTTCTGAGCAGCCTGGTCCAGTGTAACCCCTGCCCATGGCAAGGGAGTGGGAATTAGATGACATTTAAGATTCTAACTCAAGCCATTCTACAATTCTATGATATATAGGTTTTGCTGAGGAATGGGTAACTTCATATTATATCTAAGAGGACGTAAGCCCATACATTTCAGCAATGTAAACAATGTAAATCTGTAAGTCAGTTTGTCTGTTGTATCACCATCATGTTGCTTTCCTAGCAGACTTCACCTTTTTCACATTCACTGAACAAATATGGAAAGAGCATTGAGAACACTCTGAACTTTGATCTGAAATGATACCAAGGATATTATTATAGATAGATACTACAGAATAGTTGCAGACTAGAACAGACGCTAGCATCCATTTACTGTTTATCCTTAATTTCTCAAGAACATGATTTAGATGCTAGTTAAATGGGACGATGATGAACACTATTAATTTTGAATTTGCACTAGTTAATAAATTGTCTCCTAAAAGTTAAAGAATTATATGTTTAAGGTTCACGGAAGTATTTACAACCTAAAAATCAATTAATAACATGGTCGTTATATTCTTTTCCCCACTGGCTTTGCAGGGTCTCCTCAGTGATAACGTGACGGAATTACTTTGGCATAACAACCACCTGTTAAATATTTAACTGCAGTAAAAGGTCAGTAAAAATAAGACAAGAAGAGCATATCTCACTCCAACAGAAAAAATTTCAATTGTATACAGTTGTGGTCAGAGGTAACACAGAAACAATTTTATTCCCACACACAATTTTGAGAAAATAAATTTAAAAGCACTTTCAAAAGTGTCCTACCCCTTTTTCAGGGGGTAGGTTTCTAAGTACCAGAAAACACCTGGAATTTTTTATTGCAAATATATGAGGCCAAGTAACTTTCTGAAGAATTTTGAAGCAGTATCAAAGCAGCTTCTAGGTGAGGGAACAGGGAAAAAGTACTACCGGTTATGTCAGTAGTTCAGGTAAAGTTCTGATGGTGCAAGAAGGCCCCTTTCTGAGAGCTCCTTACATGCTGACCTGAGGTGATTTCACCCATTCATTAATTATTTTGTTTCTTAATGACACCTCCAGGATGCTGCTTTAATTTGAAAAGTAGTACATTCCAACACCACTGTAGGACACAAAGGAAGTGTATTGAACTGTTTTGTTATCCCTGCTCACCTTCTAATATTTCTCCCATTTGACACAGCTGTTCCACTCGTAGAACAGTTACACTGTCCTTCAGATTATTAAATCTCTAATACTTCGTTCTTACCTATAGTACCCATGTTTGTGTTCCCACTCCAGCTCCTCCTGTAAGGGAAGGTGTGGACCCACAATAACATGAAAATCCCCAAGCAATCTCTTAGGATAAGAGCTACAAGAAAATTCAGGTACTTAGATCCCTTCCTCACCTCTTTCCTATACTACCTAATCCTGGAAAAGGTTCAAGCTCAGTTTTCAGTACTACAGAATCAAAAAATCACATAATATGCAGAGTTGGAGGGGACCAAAAAGGATCATCAAGTCCGACTCCTGGCCCTGCACAGGATCATCCCCAAGAGTCACACCATGGGCCTGAGAGTATCATCCAAATGATCCTTGAATTTTGTCGGGCTTGGTGCTGTGACCACTTCTCTGGGAAGCCTGTTCCAGCACTCA